TAGTATCTGTTTATCCATGTTCCCATAGAACCCCACAGCTGCACTCCATATGTTCAATTCAGTTCTAAGCCATTTGAGAGTAGGAGCAATATACTGTAGATTGATATTTGAGAGCTGAATTTCATACATATGATATATGGTTTAAATAATTTTTTTTTATATAAATTTTAAATAAATACATTTTTTTCGTTGCTTTATGGTATGTTGATCTTGATGATTTTAATGGTTGAATAATTTTTTGATTAAAAATGGGTGTAACTTTTGCTGACTTCGTTTCGTTGGGATTGGTTTTTTTTTAAAGAAATAAATGGTTCTGTTTTGGATTTTGAATTTGAGGACAATTTGAAATTATAGTTATATAATATATATTATACTTTTATATATATATATAAATCTATAACACAAAAACATGTAATACATCTGAATCAATCACATTAAAATTGCAATCGATAGGAAAAATTTATAGTCATCTATTAATAACTAAGTCTTAACTTAAAATATAAAATATGATATGTGTTTTTAATCGTGACAAGTATAATAAACCAAGAATCCACAAATGCTATTAAAATTGATCTATATTAAAAGCAAGAGTTTGTAGTATCTAATTACTTTGGTAAAATGCATTGTTCTAATCCTTTTATTTCATCTATGAAATATTTGCAACCGATCTCTGAAATTTAGTGATATACCGGAAACAGTTTTTAATAATTTATTCTGTCAATCTCATTTGTCTAATAAGAAATAATAGGAATATAAAAAAGAACTTCAAAATAATAAGAGGTGTTATATTGAATATTTAGAAATTATAGACTACTTTATTTAAACTTCTTAAACCATTTTTTAAACTTTAATGGGAATACATAATTTATTAAGAATAACTTTTTAAATTTAAAATAATTTTACATATAATTTTGTTTAGTAATTATTTTAACAAAAAGAATACTTTATACTAAGTAGTTGAAATTTTAGAGATCGGGTTTTTTTTATAACAACATTTAATTTGATTTTTTGATAACCCAAGAAGTCTGCCTCGTATTTTCATTTTACGTAGACTTGTTGTAATTTCAGATATTGATAGTCAAGAATTAGAAAAAAAAAACACGTTTGGTTAATTAAGTATAATTTATGGAATATTAGTTATTAGTATCACAAGGAGTTATTATTTGTGCAATTTAATTTTGGTCAAAATCTATGTTTATTAAGAATTATTGTATAGTATAGTACACAATACTAGTATAGTATATGATCCCAAATACTCAAAATGGTATATGACTTGGAATTGCTTTAGATGGGAATACATGAGCGCATTTAACTTTAAGTGTGATAATTATTGTTATCCTAACAACTATTAGTTGGTTATCAACTATCCCAACAACTATTAGTTGGTTATCAAATATACCAACTACTACTAGCTGGTTATCAATTATCTATGGAAGTTATAAGATTATTCTTGTTTAGAAACTTTCGTAATAAAATGTACTCTGAGATTTGATAATTTAATTATTGCATCAATATTATTTAATTCTTCAATTAGTATTTTTTTAAATACATGATTATTAGTATTATAGCAGAATTTATTTATAGGTACTGCTTATTTATGTACTTATTTATACTTGCACATGCATATAGCTTATAAGTAAAGTTTCGTTAATGAAAATAAAAAATACCTCCAGCTCCAAAAGTACTTGGATTTTGTAAATAAAACACACAAATTTAAATTTTATTCCAAATTTATTTTATCTTCACATATGCCAACGCTTAACCCATTCTTCCATACCTTTTCGAAGTCGCACGGATCCAGATCTGGCGAATATGGTGCCTTGAGATAGTCTCACATTAACAGCTGTTGTAAACAAACTAATTGACCAACATAATAAAAAAAATTTTTTGAAAAATGTCTATTACTTAAGAAGTAGTTAACAAACAAAAAAATCCGGATACTTTTTGAGCAGAAAGTATCTGTAATGTACCTAAAAACTTATTTTAAAAAAATATTTGAAATTAAAGTTTCCATATTGGTATTTGTATATAATAAAAATTTCATAAAAAATCCATTCCTATTTATATGTACAACAATTCGCAATTATACATTGCCACAATCATTTATTGTTAACTTTTCAATAAAAATAATACAATAAAATAATAATGGAAAATGTGTATTAAATTTTCCATTTATTTTTTAAATTTTTCAACTGCGCCAGTATTATAGTCTGTCTTGTAGCATTCCTTTGATTTATGTGATGATTGATACATACCATTTAACGGTTTATGTGCTATTATTAAAACGAATATAACTTTTTACATTATATATTTTATCCAAATAACAACAAAAAATATAATATATGTAAATATTAATGATTCTCTAAGAGAAATAGGTGTTCAATACTTCTATGACAATGATTTTTAGTAAAACCAGCTACTTTGAACAACTTTTTATTGACGTTAATATAATTAAGTTTCCCAGATGTCGGCCTTTAATGTTAGAATTTTTATATACTAATATTAAGTCACGTGCAATTCGTTGTTGTCCATTGCGATTAATGTAAAAATTGCATTTACTAGTTGGTTCTAGATGGTTTCATCTAGAATGTTTCATCTAGGTGTATCCAAGATACACCGATTTATCTTATTTGTTTATTATTTACTTGTGAGTTAACACTAAAATTAATTTTAAAGTTATATTATCTTCAGACAGCCAAATTTCCTTAATTTCGTGTAAATGAAATTAAGTTCATTTCAAAAGTGTTTACACTGCAGCAAATTAAGAAAATCATATGTTTTTTGTTTA